ATGCTAAAGATCAAGCAGGAGCAAAACATAAAGTACAGAGAATTGTTCAAAAGGTTCCCCTGAAAACAGGTTCACCAATAGAATCTCATGCTGCTACTGTTCTTACACCATATGCCTTCTCAAAACTACAAGAGGAGCTTGTTTTTGCACCACAATATGCATCACTGATGGTAGATGAAAGTTATTTCGTCGTGAGACACCATAAGGAAATGGGTGGGGGTTACAAAGTACTCTGGGTTCCACATGATGAGTTCATTAGCTGTAGCTGCCATAACTTTGAGTTTACTGGTATTCTCTGCAGGCATGTGCTTCGTGTTCTATCAACAAACAACTGTTTTCACATTCCAGACCGATATCTGCCCATGCGCTGGCGTGAGTTTACATCCTCTTTGGCTAATCCCACACTCTTTTCCCTACCAAGTGATCATTTGGGAAAAGTTCAGTTATTGCAGTCCATGATTTCAACACTGATTAATGAATCAGTTGAAACCGAAGAACGCCTCAATGTTGTTTGTGATGAAGTTTCTACAGTTTTATCTCGCATTAAGGGGTTACCTACAGCATCCAATTCGGGTAATGCTATTGCATATGAGAGCCCATCAGACTCACTGATTCTTGCAGAGGTTGAGGATTCTGAAGGCATTGGTCAAAGCTTCACCTGCAACCCTCAGGAGTGTATAAATTTGGCAAAGTTGAAAGAGAGAGGATCCAGAGATGGACTGGATCTTTACGGAAAGAGGAGACGTTTCTCCATTCCATGTTGTGGGCAGTATGGCCATGATGCAAATGATTGTCCAATGATGGAAGGTGAAGATTTGAATGGAGATAGACTTGGCTTTTTATAGCAGGAATGTTGTGAAATGGAGCTAGGCGCTTTGAGGAAGTAGGGAATATATACCATCCCTTCTGTCCATAACCGACAGTTTCTCCTCTCTTAATGCAAATGTTTTATATCTTTAAACTTTTGTGACCCAAAAAATCGACTCTTAATATACTGGACACCACTTTCTGACCAACATTCTTTTTTTGTAACAAATGAAGGTCCTCCTTTCAGGGACCAAAGAAGGAGCGTTCTTATTTCTGTTCTACCAATCTCAACTCCTAAAAGAAGAGGAAAAAAGAAGCATTTAAGATGTAGCACTATGATTCTCATGCCTCAACGGGGAAAACAGAGAGCGAGGTTAGATGATATAATATTGATATTTAGTTGAAATCCAACTGCTGCTAGATACATGTGATTCTTCTCTCTTTTTCTCCCCTTCATCCTGTGATAATGGCATTCTGTGTTTGTTTCGATAAATGTTCAATGGTACAAGTTCACTAATGTGCAAAAACGCATGTCTACATTCCACTAGTTGGATATCTATTCTAAGCTTATGTAGTATAGATTATGATTTAATACTTGTATTCGGTTCAAACAACATTTACAAGACTACCTATAGGATGTGATACTACTGTTTAGACTGGCACTTGTGATGCCATAACATGATGAAATGAAACATTCTAGTAATTTTGATCTTCATCAGCTAAGGAAACTTTGCTTAGCCTGCTGGGCAATGTCTTAAGATCATTCATGTTCCTGACTTTTCTGGCTCTTCCTCGACGGCTGCCTGAACCAAACACAGCTCTATGTGCCAATGCTTTGCCTAAAAGCCGGTACTCAGCCCTGGTAGCTTTGCTGTGATCTTGTTGCCTCATCTCGCCATCATCACACTCCTCGTGGCAACCGCTGGTGTTGTAGGTTTCAGAAGCTCCATAAGTTGCTTTCTCAGCCGCCATTATATTAGGAAAACACCAAAGGTGGAGGAGTAGGATGGTGGTGTGAAGGAAATCAAGAAGTGGATGAACTTTTTTATAATGTGAATAAATGTTTATAAAGAGTTTGGGGTTGGGGACAAAAGACATATGAATGGGGACGGTTAAATTGGGTCGTTGATGGTGGTATTAAAAAGGTAAAGTTGGAGGAGTTTTGAAGCAAAGTTTCATATAGCCGAAAGGTTACTTCTTACGCAAATCCTATTGCATGCATTTATTAATGTCTCTTAAGTAAGAAGGAATAATATATTACACTTACAAAGTGCCTTCATCATCATAGTTTTACTGTATCTTCTTTAATAATTGGCTGCCTTCATCATCATACTTTTACTGTATCTTCATTAATATCACTCCCATAAATAGACCAAAGATACAAGAAGCATAGGTAGAGAGACTGAGTCGGGATTTGAAGTTCATGGGTTATGAATTTTTGCAATTGAAGCTATAGCTCATTTTGTTTTATTTAGTGCTCTAAGTTGTATATCTGTCCATCAAAATACTAGTCGATAAACGTATATCTGACTAAGTAAATATAATTATTTTTGGCCGTCCGACTAAATGTGTAACTTGCCCTGACAACAAAGCATTAGTAGATGGCCCTTTTGGGTTAGAGGAATCTCATTTTTTTTCTTAATGGAGAGTTTGCTTGTGCTTGACACTAAAACAATTCCTTATCTACCATCCTAAAAATTAGTATATTTCTTTACATGATGGTAATGGAACCAGGGGATTTGTTCTTTTTTAACTACTTTACCCTTCTTTTTCACCTTATCTAGTGCTTTCTACAACTTCATCCTCACCATATTCCCCACATTTTGGCCCCACTATTAGCTAACGTTTGACCATAGATTTCTAAATATTCTTGGCAAATATATTTGGGTGGAAATTTGAGTGAAATTTCACCATGTGTTTGGCCATAGTATTTGGAAAACATATTTTCACTTTTTTAGAAAAATATGATTTTATACCTATAAGTTTTAAAAACTATCAAAAACTAACCATAAGTTTTGTATTACAAGTCAATTGGATCTTCGTTGCAACAAATAACAAGTAGTGTCCAGGACACTGGAGCAATGTGGTAGTTTGGAGTGAGTGCAACAAGCATCATTCCATACATCATGAAGTAGACAAAGCACATGACTTTGTTACCTTGAGCCGATTGTTCATCATTTTCATCAACAACCATATCATCACTTTCATATTTATTGAATATTTCATCACTACTTTGGTGTTCACGTAAAAAATTATGTAATTCAACGCAAACAACTACTATAGAGGGTGTTTTTGTAAAAAATAAAAATTTGGTGTAAAATTTCAATTTTTAAAAGATCCCAAATAATGAGATTTGGCTCAAATACTAGAAAAAACTAGTATTTGAAAATTTGGGATATTTGTCAAATAATGACAAATTGTATGAATAAACACTATTTGCTAGTTTTTTCTCCAAATATTACTTGAGAAATCTATGGCCAAACGGGTTAGTAGCTTGCGCCCAAATCTGGAATGGGCTAACCAGAGACAAAAACGGAACAAGATTAATTTTTTTCCGTAAATAGCTATAGTTTAGAACATAATTCTGAAACATAGCTACAATTTTTATATTTACGGAACATAACTAGAGGAGAAAATACACTTGCAACCTGAATGGAGTGAATATGTTGATACATACACAGCATAATGAACAAAATAGTTAAGGATATTGCGAATTAAGAAAAAAATTGTACTTCCACAAAGCATATATAGGAAAACGTGAATTTTTTTGAACAATTGTTTACATATACAACTATCACTTAATTGTAGTTATACCAAATAGAGGCATGATACATGCTTGAACATATATAACTATCACTTAACTTTAGTTATTTCATTATATTGCTCAACTATGATAAGTTACATTAATTGATTCAGTATAAACACTTTGTACGAATAAGTGCATATGGATGTTTGATTTTTTATGATATTTATTGTTTTGTATTATTTGGTTGTAGTTCTGTTCTGCTACTATATGTTGTTTTGTTACTATTTATTGTCTCTTGTACTTTTATTAGGTCTTTTTCTAGTCTTTTTTTCTGTCTTGAGTCAATGGTCAGTTAGAAACAGTCTCTCAAACTCACCTCAGAGATAAAGATAAAATTTGTGTACACTCTATTTTCTTTAAACCTTCACTTTATGAGAATACATTGAATATATTATCGTTGTTGATACGGGACATGTCCAAAAATTTCCATGTGTACTGTTATGGCTTGAAGGTTCTTAGAAACTTCCTAGTGAGCGAAATGATAGGATGAAATGAGTAGCCGTTGACCGTTGTGGTGCAAAACAAACACTGCGTCATTGATGATACAATTTCTTGTCCCTGTTTTTTTACTCCGTTCTAATTTATGTGACATTTTTTTAAAAGTCTGTCCAAACAAGAATATCACCTTTTTATAGTCACAAATAGATTAACTTTAAAGTTCTCTTTTTTACTTTTACTAAGATGATTTATAGTTAAACAAATGTCTAAAGTTTGTTTTAGATAATGAATTTTAAATGTCTTTTAAAATAAAAAGTATGTCAGTCAAATGGTGCCACATAAATTAAGATAGATGAAGTAAACACTTTACCCAAAGGGAGAATCAAAATTTGAACTTAATGACATTAAGGCCGGTTTGCACCTGCGATATAAAATCATGATTTGGAATTAGTGATTTAAAGTCGAAATTTTATTATGACAAGCAATTTGAATTTCTTAAGTTTGTATTTTTTTCTAATATATAAACATGAAAACCTCACATGTTGTGGAAACTATTAATATTTATTCAATTCTTATACAATCTTACCAAATGATCAAACCATAGTTGATAAACAAGATATCAAAATATCCTAAGGCATCGAACGGATAAATCACATATCTCCGTGTTCCTTTTATAAATAAATATTTGTGATTACAAACTTTCAAATACACATAATTTTATAAAGATCAACTAGTCAATAATAGTAGTTACTACTAACTAGTTATTCTTTATTATAATCTTTTCACATGGTACAAACAAAATCTTCAAGCCGAACATAAGTCTTTGTAAAAAAATCAGGTCTTTTTTTTAAAATATATAAAATATAAACTTATGAATCAAGCTTTGTATGTTAAAAATTTTGAAATTAGGATTTGAAATCCCAAATTGTGCTTTTTAAAGAATTCGATATTTGAAATCATGATTATATATCGCATGTTCAAATGCAAGCTAAGGGTTAGTAACTAAATTCTGAATTTAATATTTATACAAATATATCAAATTTATATAGTTACTAAGTTCGATCGAAACGATACGTAACCTTATGGCTCAGCCATGCTTGTACCAAGCTAGTAGTGACAAGAACTACTTTAAATAGGAGTGCAAATTAGCTCCTGTAGCCTCACAGGAAAAAAAACTAGTGCTAGCTCTACTACAATGAGGGATGAAAATTTTAATCTTAACAAACAAGATGAAGAAAGTAGAGCTATGCACTATTGGTGGAGATTAGCATCAAAATTTGATGAGTGTGTAAAATTCAAGTTTGAAAAAATACAAAATTTGTCAAAATTGACACCAATACTTAAAGTGCTTAGAGAAATGGAGAGGTTATATTTGATGTCCATCGAGAGTTTTGATGAGCTTAGACAAAAGTTAATGTCTTATAAAGTAGGAGACTTTTGGGTGCCAATTGGTGGAATTAACAAAGAGGATTTGGATATTCCACCTGTGAATACTATATTGTTGGTTGGTTTTCATAATGCTGGCAAAAGTTCACTTGTCAACCTTATGTATAGTGTTCTTGGTCAATCTGGTCTCATCCCTTTTGCACAAACTTCCTTAGGTACTTAATGCAACATTCCTTCAACTTTCTCCGTTCTTTTTTACTTGTTCAGTTTGCATTTTGCATTTTGCGTTTTGCATTTTCCTTAAGAAACTGCTAATCAAGTGTTTATTTTTACGTCAATTCTATACGTTTCTTGTATTTGCTTTGCTCTTTTGGTAACTTGAACTCTGAGGCTTAATGTTGGAAGTGAGGGTGCTTATCATTTGAGCAACTCCCTTTTGTCAATTCTCTCTTAATTTGCTTATACAACTAAATTAAAAATCTATTTCTAGTATACTGAACGGGTAAAAGAGAACGGAGAGAGTAACTTATAAGGAACATTTGAGATGATATAAAAGAGAAACGTTAGTCCAAAACTAGTTGGAATCGCTTATAAGAATCATATATTGCTTTATTTGTTTCATTGTATACGATACTCTAGTATCCCCTTTTAATTTGTTACAGAAAGAATGACATATTCTCTATTTAAAGTTGTTTAATTTTATATATTTTGTACTTTATGTCTTATTGTTAAGGACATGTTTTTATAGCCATAAAATACCACAAATTTTGTACATATCAATATTTTTTCTTCTTAAGACTTCAATTCTTGTGATTTTTTTAAAAAAAAATCATAGGAAATGATTGTGGTTACACGACATTAACGATGGAGGAACACAATGTGTTAAGATCAACACGAAGTGGATTCTGCATTTATGATACGAGGGGTTTCGATTATGATAGAGTTGATGAAGCTCTTCTAGAATTGAAAGAATGGATGGCTCCTGATGGAGTCCACCATAAGAAGTTGTGTTCCAGACAAGAAGATCATGTACTTGTACCAATGTTAAATAATGAATTGGAGGATGCTTCTTCTTCTATGTTCATAAAGAGAAGAGTCAATTGTGTTATGGTGGTGGCCAATGCTTATGAAATATATAAGTCTCTCAAACTTGATGATTTTAAGCCATTGGATGCATTGAAGCAACTTTATTGCTCATCTTCACTCAACAAATCTAGTGAGTTTTAATTATTAATTCTCTCTTATTACTCTATTACTCATCCATACTCATTCAGTCAAGTACTTCATCTGTTCTATTTTAACTGTCGCTTTAACTTAAGAAAAGTTTGTCCCTAGAAATTCAAAATCAAAGTTGAGAACTATTTTAACTTCAACTATGCTCTTAACATTAAATAAGTAGTCATTTTTATTATTGCTCAATTCTAAAAAAAATAATTATAGATGGCATAAATTAGTAAATTATACTTTGTATGGACATTTTTTTCTTAATGGACGTGAAGAAAAATTAAAATAGGACGAAAGGAGTAAATTATAGTCAAACCTTAAATGTCAGATAAAAATGACTAGAGAGAGTACAAGCTTGTCTCTTACCTAGTCTTAAAAGAGATCTTGTGGTGCAATGGTGAAATTGTTTCATCCTTGATCAGAGGTCTCATGTTCGAGCTCTGGATATGAAGAAAATTATGTTGGGAGTGCCACCCCTAAATGAGCCATGTAATGCGCAATCTAGATTTAGTTGGGACTTCGGTGTGTACTCCGAAAACCGATTGGGAAACTAAAAAAAAAAAAATTTGAAATTGTAGTGTCACAAGTGCCAATTGGACATTTCCTACTCTCTTGTATTCTTAGTTCTCTATTTCCACTTGTTACAATAAACAAGTTTTTTTTTTTATATTATCAGTATATAGAAGTTAAACTCAGATATTTGTATTGCAGATGGGAACCCCATATTGATTTTAACTCATGGAGACAAGTTATCAACTGAGGATCGAATCGATTGTCGATTGAAAATATGCAAACATCTTGGTACCTCAGAGACTAATGGAATATATGATATAGTTTGTGTGACAGAATATGGATTATTAGCAGATGAATATGATCCAATCTCAGCATATTCTGTAACTGAAGCTGTTTACAGATCATTGCTTATTTCAGACAGAGCTCAACTTGTCAAGAAAACATTTAAGGATTGGGCATTATTTGCATTGTCATGTCTTATGTGCTTTATAGCCAGCATTTTTGCCTGTCTGGCCCAACTTTTCAATGTTCTGGCCCAGAAACATAAAGGCAAGCTAAAATGGTGAAGAATAAGGCTCTAGGCAAATATTTGTATTAGCATATGTATTTGTGTTTTCTACTAATGATGTTCTTGCTGTTGGATGTTTAGATATAAGTAAAGTAGGTTAATAACTATACATGTTTTTAATGGCTATGGTTCGTTTGTATCTGTTTAATTATGAGCGAGACTTTGGGTGCACTAATCTAAACTTAAAATAAAATGAGTGACATTTGCTTTGATAAATTATCTATTGTTGTTATGAGGTTTGCAGAGGTGAACCTAGGATTTGAAGACTTTGGATGCATCAATTTAAACAATTCAAGTAAAATTGAGCCTTGGTCTCATGGGTGGTACCTTTGGCGTATACCAATGGCACAAACCACTCCTATGCTTCTCATGGGTGCACTGTTAATTACTCTATTTGTCTTAATTTATGTGACACTTTTTGAATTTCGAGATTCAAACAAGTCTATCTTTGACCGTAAATTTTTCATATATCTTTTAATTATTTTGAATTGTCAATTATTGTGACTTATAGTACTTTTTACGCAATTTACAAATATATAATTTTTGTCAGTTTTCCAACATAGATATACATATATACACATGATTTTTCTCAAGGTTAATGGATGCACGTGCACCCCAACTTTGCATTTGGGTCCACCTCTAGGGGCGGACGTTTCGACAGTTCAGATTGGATATGAAAATTTCAATTATTAGATTTTCTTTCGTATTTAAGTATCTAAAATCTAAATGATCGATCTTCTTAAGTTCAGTTTCAATTTTATCAATTTAGTTATTTCGAATTTTTTATTTTTAAACTTAAAAATTTAATTTGTTCCTCTTATAAAAATGAACATTTCAATGAAACATTCATGTCAAATTACCTTAATAATTTATCAGTCTTGCCTTTAATCTCTTTTTTTTCCACGAATTTCAATGTTAATTAAATTACTCCTACCAACTTTTTTTTTTTTTTTTATCTAATATAATATAATTTTTCATACCTTTTTTGAGATCGACCCCTGCCACTTACTTCCATTCGATAGCGATAACCCTCGGGACCATGCCCATGGTACTTCCCATCACAACCCTCGATCGTATCATAAGAGAATTCAACGGCTGAGATTTTTCTGACTCAGAGTAAACTATTTGAATCACAAGGGTATTAATGTAAAATTCCCCAAAACAGGAATTTAAATTTAACTATGATGTCGTGTCCGCAAAATAATACTCCCTCCGACCACTATTGTTTGTCAGGTATACGAAAAATAGCTCTTCAAAATTAATTGTCAATTTAAACAATTAAGAAATAATTAGTCATTTTTTTCAAATTCTGCCCTTAATAATTACATAACTACTAGTTTACAAAAAGTAGTTATTTTAAAGTTACAAGACTACTTTAATGTAGAAAAAAGTTGATTTTACAATTTTACAAAAGTACAAACCATTTTAATAATGATTAATAGTAGGATTATATTAGTCAAATTGCATGTTATATTAAAAAAAAATTTAAGAATTATGCATGATCTTATCTTGACGAACAATAGTGGACGGAGGGAGTACTATATTGCCGTTTTAGCTTCCCTATCCCCTATTTTTTTTTTAGCCATTTCACCCTACTACTAGTACTAGTTATTGTAGTTCAATTGTGTATCTCTTTTAGCCACATCAACACTACAAATCTTTCTCCCGCCTTGCAATTTAACACGTTTAAAAGTTACTACTTTTTCTTTCCACACAAACAAACTGGGTGATCTTAATTAACATTTACAGTAACATTTGTAGTGATGGATCTGAAGGAAGTAAAGGTAAGAGTCGTCAATGAAAACCTTACTTTTATTTATTTTTTCTTTCTGCTCACTGATCTCAATTTTCTTATGATGTTTAGAGATCAGAAGAAGCAGAGGAAATGAAATCTTGTAGTTATTGTCATACCACAAAAACACCTCTTTGGAGAAGTGGTCCATCAGGTCCCAAGGTAAAAATAAACTTAGATCAATATATATTTGTCGATTATTATTTTGATAGACGGTTATACAGTGTGATTTAATTTTTTGTTGTTGTTGTGTTTTAGTCGTTGTGCAACGCATGTGGGATCAAGTATAATAAGAAGAGGAGACAGATTTTGGGTGTTGAGAAGAAGAGGAGAATTGTTTGTAAAGAGGAAAAGAGTAGAGAAATTGGAAAATTGATGGGATTTGGAGGAAAATTAAGAGAAGAAGAACAAGCGGCGATATTATTGATGGCTCTTTCTTGTGGATCTGTTGGAAAATTACTATTCTAACCCTCAATTCCTACTTGCAGCAAAACCCATTGTAATTTTTACTAATTAATTGACCCATTTTGATCAAGAGTTTTTTGTTTTTTTTTTTCAGTTTCAGTTGTAATTGCTAATGTAGTAATGTTTTGAATTTTGATTCAAATTTTGGATTTTGTGGTGTTATTTGGTACTTTCTGTGGAGGATCTATCAGTTCTGAATGCAGACTCCATTAATTTCTCGACTCGAGGGAAAAATTGAATTTCAAAATCCACCTGATTTAATTACTCTATCCGTTTCGAAATATTTTAATATTTAAATTGTTTAATTAATTTAATACAAAAAATTAATCATATTATATCAAACAAAATATAATAATAAATATTTTGGGACGAAGGGGGAGTATGAGAATTAAATCATCGCCAAGAAAGTTGGTACTTTACTATCAACGTCATGTCTATCACTGCTAAAAACTAATATATATATATGTATATGAATTTTGGTTGGTGTCAATTGTGAGTTGGCAGCAGTAACAGGGTGCCAAAATTAATAAATTGGTACCTATCATCACATTTATTGTCATTGTAAGCTAGCCCCTCAGTGTATTGAGGACCCGTATGGCTCAAAAATATTTAAGAAAAATTTGGGAAGTGATATTTGATTATATAACTTGATAAATATATTGTCAAGTACCTTAAGTTTCAAAATATTGAAAAAAAAATTAGTATTTGGGCCAAGTGCTAATATTTGAAAATTTTAAAAAATTCAAAATTACCCAAATCTTTTATATTTTATAAAAAGATACGCATTATTTATTAATTTCAACTAATATTTATTACTATCTCCTCTGAAAAAGTTTGAGTTCTAATTGAGTGATAAAATTGAGGAAAAGAATAATTTGTGTTTAATGAGTTATAATCATAACTTGAATTAGTGACAAGTTTAAGTATGCGATTAATGTATTGTCTTGCCTAAATTGTCATTTGTAATTGTTGTTTGTTATCCATGATATTATAATGTTATTTTTAATGAAACATATTAATTATAAAGTGATAATATAAATGGATATTTTAAATAATTTTTAAAACTTATGGGTATAAATCATTTTTTTTTAAATAGTCAAAATATTTTTAGAAAAATTTGGCGCACTTCAGCAAAATTTTTATCCAAATATAATTTGAGAACTTGGGCCAAACGCTAGGGGCTTAGGGACACAAAGAAAAGAGATAAAGGAATATGAAGAAAAAAATTTACATGGCTGTTTGGATGGTGGAAAAGTGGGGAAGAAAGTAAGAAATTTACTGTTACCCCTTTCTAGTAAGTAGTTTTTTATGAACCGCGCTTTAAAAGCTTGATGTTATGACAAGTTATGATGGTAATCGACAAAAATAATTGTAAATTGATAGCTAGTTGTGGTTGTGTTTGCGTTTGTGTTGAGAAGGTTAACCATGATGGTAATGCAATAGTAGCCTGCTGTTCAAAACTAAATATAATTCAGCTCGAATGAAATGAAAAGATCTCATAATTAGAGTCGAAATTCAAAATTTTATTACTAATAAGGGAGGTGATCGATAATTTGATAATAGTAGAGCTTATTGAAGGGAGTATCTTGGCAAATCCTTAATTATCTTAATTAAAAGTAGTAAAATCATAATTTTGCAACTATCTAGAACTATTTGGGAAAAGGTAAAATAAAAATGTTATGTAGAATATTTCTAGGCAATTCTGGAAGAGAAAAGTGTAGAATTTGACACGAAACAGAAGAGTGGAGGAGTCACTAGAAAACTCTAGTCACGTCTACAAAAGTTGACACGTTATCTAAATGCCTACAGTGACAAGTTTTTTAGTGTTGCTTTTATATAATCTCACCTAATTTCCAATAGAAGTATTAAGAAAATTTGAAACGTTTAATTACTCGTTGCGTAATATAAAAAAAGCTCAAAGATGCAAACAAGATTGGCGATTTCTTCATCTACAAAACTTCATCGACTCTTATATGCACAATCTCAAAAGTACAAATCATTTTCCTCTTCTACTGGAGGTCGAACAGCTGATCCTGCCATCCATTCTGGACCTCTTGAAGTAAGCAATTCTTTTCTTTTTTGCCTTATGGAGTTCGAGGTGGAGAGTGCTTACCATCCAAATATTTTCAAGTTCAATAATTTGATGAATTTGGCAATTAAAATTGGTTAAGTTATTAGATGGGTTACGATTCAGTTTGCCTAAAGTGTAGTAGGCATAAATCAATCCACTTAAAATGATCATTGCACTATCTTTACCTATTTTTAACTCTATAGTTTAATTGTTCATTTTCAATTTGATAAAAAAAAAAAGATCTTTAGCTGCAATCAATTAGCAGCAATAGCTCAATTGCCGCTAAATATGCATTTTTAGCAGTAATTAATACTCTTGGTATATGTCTCTAAAGTCTTTAGCGATCTAATGACATTAGATCACTTAACTAATGTCGCTAAAAATTTTAGCACTCTTTATTAATGTCTCTAAAGTCTTTGTCGATCTAATGACACTTAACTAATGTCGATAAAGATTTTAGCACTCTTTATTAATGTGTCTGTTTATTGCCGTTAAAAGTTGTTTTTGTTCTAATGGGTCTTAGTTAATCCGTGAGTTAATTTTTGTTAGAGTGGGTTACCGTTTGCTTATATGGATAATGACAAATCTTCCTTTGTGGACTAATTTTTGGGTTGAGTTAGGTCCAGAGTTATATTTTACAATTTTGTCACGTCTTATTATTGCAGTGTCCAAATTGTGTTTGAATAAATCGCCTTACAATGCTGTGTTTACAGGGAGATGACTTGGAGGAATCTGTTAAGGTAGCAGAAAATGAAAAGAAACAACCCAATATAAAGTCTGTTAACGCCAAGGATGCATTTGTTCCACCCAAATCACCGATCGGGTCATCTCAAAAGATCGAAAGCACGGGCGTTAACCAACCTATAGACCCATTGACACAACAAAAACGACAGAAATCTAGTAATGCTACCGATGAAACGTCATTAAAAGATGTTAGTTGTGCTGGATTGGATGGTTCTCCGTGGCCTGACGAATCGAAAAGCAGGGGAGAGAAATTTGAAGATGATAGAGAGTATTTTAGTCATCATAAGCCATCTCCATTAGCGGAAATGGAGATGGCTGATACGAGGAAGCCAATCACGCAGGCGACTGATGCGCCTGCGGATGATGGTATTGCTCTGTATCCCGCCCCTTGGGGCGGGATGATGGTGTGGAGGCCGGAACAATTGGATACGGCTGAAGAGGCTCTTTTGAGAGCTGTGGAGATATGGAAAATGAATGCTATGAGAGGTGATCCGGATTCACCTCAAGGTAGGATTCTTAGAAAGCTTCGTGGTGAAAACTGGTGATTTATGTTTTATGATGATTTGGTCTTGTTTTCTTTTGTGAAAACAGACATCATGTTTGTAAATGGAAATGTCAAGACTCAAGGGTATTATGGGTAAAAAAAAACAGACATCATAACTTGCTGGGAATTAATTTACCTCTGCTTCTTGGCAGATGATCTTATATCCCATTAAATTTGAATTAGCACTAAAAAGATTCTATCTATATTGAGGGACAATACTTCCTAACAAATACGAAATACGACTTTGTATGAAGTATGTCAATAAGATTGAACCTAAAACCACCTCCTTTTTTGAACCACTAGGCGGGTGCGTAGAGCTAAATTTTAGATATCTGATTGCGTTCACATTCTTGTGTGTTATATCAAACACTTGAAAAGGGCAATGGGAATTACTCCCTCCTTTTCACAAAAAGAATGATCTCTTTCTTTTTTTGGTAACATTTTAATATTAGTTTTTCACGTGGCATGTTTAAGGTCACAAGTAGTTTTGTATATTTGACATAACTTTAATTTAGGACCACAAGATTCAAAAGTCTTCTTTATTTTCTAAAATTTCGTGCCAAGTTTAAATATTTTTTGTGAAACGGAGGGAGTAATAATTTTGTCACATAGAGAGTAGTGGCTTAGAAGATAAAACTCTAGGAATGGTGCGGTCATCAATACCCACACCCATTCTCTTCATTATCTTCTAAGCCTCTCACTTTTTTTAGCCTCTCACTATTATTGTCCTCTTCTTTTGTAGTACCATAAACAACTCTTCTATTTCACTTCTTGTTTTTGTGCATAACTCAAAACCTCATTTGCCCTGTTTCATATCTCCTCTGTTTTCATGCAAATGGCTCCCCTGCATTCTCAATTACTAGTTTTCAGCACCCTCATTTTGCTTCTCAATGTCCAATTAACTCATGCCACGCCGACAACGACAGCAATTGCCAAAGGCCAAATAACCTGCACAATGTGCTCCTCCTGTGACAACCCATGTCAGCCCATTTCATCTCCGCCACCACCACCATCATCTGACTATAATTTTCATCCACCACAATATTGCCCGGGAGGTTGCTCTCAGCAGCCTCCATTACCGCCTTATAATGGCGGTGGTGGTGGTGTCGGTGATGGTGATTACTACTATCCTCCGACCGACCCTTCTGTATACCCTATCCCACCACCTCCAAACCCCATTTTACCGTATTTCCCTTTCTATTTTCACAACCGTCCTTCACCTTATATAGTTGACTCTAAATCCGTTCAGTTCAAGAACCATCCTTTTATCACTTGTCTCATTCTGGTTCTTCCCATTTTCTTGTTTCTGTAACCATAAATTTATTCCATTTTAACCAATCAGAATATGTGTTTTTTCTTTAATAATTGTAGTGTTTTGGACAAGCTTAGGCACAACTCGACTAATTTCATGGGATACATGTTACCTCCACGAGCAATAGGTTTAAGAAGTCAAGAAGCTAGTAGTGGACTAAACAAATTGTGCCACCAAATTTCCATAGAAAATTTAAGAGTGTTTGATTTGAGGACATCCTAATCTACTTTTGTAGATGTGGTATGTAGAATTATAGAGAGTCTGTCTGTCTTATTACATGTATTCTTGTTGATAGTACTGGGTTTTTTTTTTAATTGTTGAATACATGTAATTTTCGTATCCTCCTTAAAATTCTGATTATCCTACAATGTACGTGTTTCAAATCTATTGTTTGCCAACATACCCAATGTGCGTTGGGTCGAAAACAAGAGTCAAATATGCATACTATTGAATATGTTATTGTTATTGTTTGGTCAGTATATATATATATGAATTGGCCTTAGGTATCAAATATGAATTGGCTTAGCTTGTTTGTTAATTATATTGGCGTGCTATTTTTTTTGTTGATAAATGTGGTGTAGTGAACTTTTGTTGGGACAGTGGGGAGGAGCCTCAGGTCGTTGCTTTTCAGATGGTAAGTATCCTTTATTTTTGAGTTTATGGTTATGAGTTCAAGTCGTCAAGTACATTAAAATGTGAGAACTCCTTGGAGGTGTAGAAAAAACTCAAGCTTGACAATAGAAAGTTGCTTAGATGATATACACTTCTCACTTAAGCTAAGTTTGAAAGTACAGATAGAATTAGTATATATGGTTTAATAAGCTAATTTTTCCTTTTTGAAATATCGTTGGAAATCCTTAAACTAAGTTTAACATCTCTTTGAATCTATCATAAATTAAACAATTTTGTTGCGCTGAGGTGTGGAAATGTTGAGCAAGACTGATAATGCAGGCCCAAAACTGATGAGGCCCAACTAGCTAATCCAGTCGTTAGCTCCTAACACCTTGTTTGGATGGTGTTATTCTTCATTGTATTGTATTCATATTAGTAATATTTAATTTATTCCCTAACTACATATTAAATAGGGAAAATTATGCGGAAGAACAAACATTTAGCTTGTATTAGATACTATGACTACAGTTTAAGAAAATAGTAATTCGTGGTTACAGTTTTTTCAATTCTTGTTAATTGCCTAATTTGTATAATTCGCTTGATTTATATAAATTCAAAATTTGTATAATTCGATTATTAATTGTATAAATTCAGAATTTTGTATATGTTTATTCTAGCTATTTGTATATGATTTATTAAAAATCATAATAAATTGCCCTGTTTGTATATTGAAAAGTGAAATATACAAACGGACGTCTAAAAAATTCCTAAATATATAAATACCCTATTTGTATATTCGCAAGTGAAATCTACAAACGGACAGAATGCAAGCGACAACTTCCATTGCAAACAGAATTAAAGCTATGAAGCGCAATTATCAAAATTATAATTGTAGAGCTTTATTATACTCCTATTTATTATATTTGCTATTTCTAAAATTTTCTCTATTAAATACAGCAGCATAACTAAAGTCAGTTGAACAGTGTCAATCAAACGGAGCACAAAAATGTTACCTTTTTCACCTTCTTTTTATCAGCATTCTCAGACTGACTGCCATGAAATGGGAATAAGAATAAAGGGAAATGGAATATGATTTCTATCGATTTTCTTTCTCTTTTGTTCAAAAAATATACTCCTCCTTTTTTCGATTTAACAACTAGTATTTTTTCTTTAATTTGTTACTTAGTTCCTTCAATGAATTCCCTTCTCTCTGTTTCGTTTAGGCGTGAATTTGAATTAATCGAGGCCTTAATATTATACTTTTCAATTTTACTTTTCACATTTAACTCAATATTTTGAATAAATCAATAATCCATTCGAACATTTTATTCTACATATAGTAACTTCCAATCAAGTCTATTATATTGTGGCAGAAGAAATAATTCATTCCTAAAAGTTCACCAAATTCATATTAAAAAGAGGTTTAAAAGAACATAGAAACACAAAGAAAATCTACTACCATCGAAGGTTGTGATGAAATGAATATGATTTGTCCACTTTTAATGGGGTGTTTGGAATACGAGTCCTAGGAATAGAAAAAATTTAGTAGGAAAAATCTCTCCTTTTAATAGATCTTATACAATGCAAATCTAAATTAATCGAAATTTAAAATAAACATAAACCGCAGATGAAAATCCAAAAAGTTTATATCATATAATTATTAGACACTTTTTCCTTATTATACGATGCTCTTTTGTCACGCTTTAAAAATTGATCTTTATTCCAACTTTCCAAGATCACCCCAAAAATATTACTCCTATAATCTATATAAACATTTGCTTTTAATGATTATGTGGTGGAAGTTACTATGGGAATTATAATCCAATATAATCTTCCCACTTTTTTCTTCTTGTGTGATTGGCAACCAATGTGTTTGATAAATAATATTGAAGCTTTCGAAACATGAACATTATGAATTATCAATGATCATCTAAAAATTCACCAAAAGTTATAATGCGATGACAAGTATTATATTTAAAGTGAAATTTTTTGCTCATATCTGAATTAATTGGACTATAAAAAAATATTTCACAAAAAACCAAAAGAACTTAAAAAAAATAAAAACCAATTAGATGCTTCATTTTTTTATAGAATAGATGAGTACATTAGTATCCAACAATAAGTAAATTTAAGTAAAATATCATAAATGATATAAAAACTAAGCATGTGACTCTTGTATTACACTTGAGTCACTTATTGAATTCCACTACCTAAAGTGCAAAAGAAGGCTATTCCTACTTTCCCTTATAGAAGCATATGAGATGTCCTTCGAATCCACATTAATTCTTTCTTTTTGGCAATTTGGTACACCATCTTTTTTTATCCACCACTTCTTGCCCCTTCAATTTCTTTTTGCTAGATCCCTTCACATTGTCTAAACATGAAACTTACATATATTTATTTATATAAGCAAACAAACATTAAATGTTATACATATCACTATGCTTTTTTCCCCGCTTATGTTGAGTATACGAACAAAGTTTGAAACTAAAAATCAATAAAAATTAATCATAGGAGTACAACAAGACGTTTTAAGTAAAATTATGCAGACTTGACCTAAAACGAACGATCTGACACTACATTAGCCCGAAAGTTTTAAAAAGACATGCAATGGCAATAATAAGACAAGTAACGAAAGGTTGATTTTTGTATCGAGTGGATTTATTAGAGTAAGCTAAAGGTGGCGAAAAATAAGGATATATGGAATAAGGTGGTGAACGAGGTTGTAGAGAGCAATCTTCCGGGCATGAACGTCGTGCCGGTGGTGGAGGTGGTGGTGGACAATAATTGACCGGTGGTGGAGGAGGCGGTGACGGTGGTGGTGGTGGTGATGGTGGAGGAGGGCATAAAAGCGGAGGTGACGGTGATGGTGGTGGTGGTGATGGAGGCAAAATAGGTTGACATGGGTTTTCACAAGTGGTGCACATTTCACAAGCGATTTGGTCTTTGGAAATTGCTGTGATTGTTGACATGGCTTCAATAATTTGGACATTGTTTAGTGAAAGGGAGAAAAAAAGAAGAAAATTGAAGGTGAGAAAAATTTGGGATTGAGAATTTGGAGCAAACATTTTGAGAAGTTGTAGTTCAAATGTATGAAATGTAACAAATACATTAAGTTGATGGAGAAGTAGGGAATATATATGAAGACAATGGGTGCATGTGTGGGGTTGATGGAGTAGTGCATGTTATTGAAGACCGCACTATTTCTAGTGTTGCATCTTCTACGCTACCAATTTTATGTGACAAATAACTAGTTACCGTGAAATTCTGGCTCCGCCACTGCACATGAGATGTAAATTGCACTAGGCAAGTCCCATGCGACAAGGTCATAGCTGAGTGGAAGATAGGAGGTCTTATTTATAAATATTTTTTAGAACACATGATAACTTAGGGGAATCTAAAATTTGAAAATTATGAGTTCTTAATTTTTCTTAATGAGATGATTTATAGAAATATAAATATCTATAACTTAATTTAGATTAAAAAATTGAGCAAAGTAGGCAGTTTTCTTGCGCTGGGACTTGCAACTTTTAACGTATAATTAAATAGTGAAGGTACATATATATAATTTTTTGTGGAATTTCCAGCATGCACGGCGCTCTTGGGGGGGCACTCAATTTGTAAATCACCGTCCTAATTTCATACTCCCTCTGTCTCTAATTACTTGTTCATTTTTGAATTGGCACACCTATTAAAAATAATAATTATTGACATAATAAGTTTACCATTTTACCCTTATTAATTATGAAGTGAATGAATTAAAAATTTAAGATTTTCAAGAAGTATTGAGGGTATAATAGGTAAAAATATTTTATCCTTTCTTGATTTATCAAAATAGACAAGTAATTAGGGACAAAGAGTATGTAATACTACGAGTTTTGAGTCTTTAATTTTTATGATTCTTTTACCAACTTAAATTCAATTGAAATTTCTCAACTCTTCTGCTCCCTCCGTCCATATTTACTTGTCAATATTTTCTAACTTAATGTTCTTTTTTACTTGTCACTTTTTGACAAATCAAGAAAGAATATATATTTTTTAATTATAAATATTGATTTAAAAAATATAGTGAATAAATATGATTTGGGATCCTATTCAATTAAAAGGGGTAAAATGACAACTCACTATATCAATCAATATTTTCTTAATATGTGTGTCAAATTAAAATTTGACAAGTAAAAAGAGATCGAAGGAGTACTAGATATGTGTAAAATCACTAAAATGAGTAATTTTATTGATTATCAGGTTAATTAAAAATTAGTGCGATTATTAATACAGAAATAATCAACAGGTTACCTGTTACCACAACAACCTAAAAAGGAAAAAAACGAACGAACCAAAACAATTTGGCAAAATATCAAAATATATGGTTGGAATTTCTATTCCTATTATTGATAATCTTAGAAATTCTATTTCTATAAAAATGATTAATTATACAAAGAACGTGTTGTTATAAAAATTGTTGTTGCGCTATAAAAGGTAAAATATAATTAAAAATTAGTTTTGGAAAAAAATTGGAGTCGAAGGCGACTCTGTATCTAAGGGGACTCAATCTCGAGACCTTTTGGTTAAGGATGAAGGAGTACTTACCACTCCTCTACCACCCTTGTTGGTCATATGCATACTCTTATTGTATTGTTACCTATTGTATTGTAATTTGTATTGTATTGTTACCTATTATATTGTATTGTTACCATACATAAAATGTTTGTTTTGATTATTACTTAAAATGTATTGTATTGTTAAATTTTGTTATAACGTAACAATGAAAACCCCCATTTTATGAAACAATCGATTTGGTGTGTTCCCAGTGTTACTTAATTTCTTTTTCCAATTATATCCTTACTTAATATTTCACAATACTATTTTATCACTTACCCTATATTATTTGTTTGTGTTTATTTTGGATTTTCGGTATGCGCTTTTATACAATCTTTCTTTTCACAAATTTGACTTGAGATAATGAAAATTTAAATGCATCCAAGTGAATTCACATATAAAGAGCCTTATTATATCTATTATTTTTGTTATTTCTAAAATAAATTCTTTTTATATTTTCAATTAATGTCTGATAGCGAAAATGTTGGGAATCCCTTTATGGAATCGATTTTATCATCTCAAAAGATGCTTTATACTATACAGGTTGGCATGAAAGTTGACCCATTGGGATTCTCTCTGCATTTTTATTAATACATAATTTGCATAGTTTGGGAGTATGGGTGAGAGAAACTTCCAAGAACTCAAAAGAAAAGATATCCTGTTCGGAAAAATCTTTTTGCCAGAAAATTTGGTCAGAGTTTAGCCAAAATAATATTTTATTTATGTTATTTTACCTTTTTAAACATTTTCACCCTTTTAACTTTAATACTTATTCACTAAAAAATGGAAAAAATATCAGTTTATTTTAAAATAAAAAAAATATTATAATTTTTTTAATTTTTTGACCAAATTCTGGGCATATTTTTTGGCCATTTAGCACTTCCCATATTATTAGTACAAGTGAGAATTGAAAGGATTTCATGGTATATTGTCGGCAGGGAACATGCACAAAATAAAGGGCAGAGTAGATGTGTGGATCCAAATGACAAATGTATGGAGAGGTGTATCAATATGGGATAGCAGATAACAAAACACCATGTGTGTATTTTCCTCTTCTTTTTTTTATATAAGGATGTAGTCGAATTAATTTACACGCATTTTAACTAATTCTGTTGAACTTAATGAGTTTTGATGATTGATAAAGTATTTCGAACCAACTACATCTATTGTACTTAATCGGATCATAAAGCAAGCGAATAAACAATACAGGATAGTGAAAGTTAAGGGTAACTTCAAGAGGGACACAATAACTTATGATTGTCTGTCTGGATAGGCTTATAACTTATGATTTATAAGTCAAAAGACAGTTAAATTTTTTAACTTGTTAACGGAATAAAATATGGATCTTCAATCCTTTATTTAACTCGAAAGGGTTGCTGATATAGTATAGCAAGCTAAGAGTATTCTATAAGAGAGAGTAGAGATTGAATCTAACATGATCCTTTCGCAGTTGGCTAAGCTTGGCGTAGTGAGTACACTATCCCAAAATGGGATGCTACCGGGTGTTCATCACTTGGTCCCTTTCTTAGTCCAATTCGTTGTACATAAATTGTCTAGTGCAGTTACATCTCTCGTGTGATTTAGAAGCTATTGCACATGCATAATTTACATAATACGTATTCAAAGGATAGTAATTGTGAGTATCTCTCGAAATTTCCAAAAAAAATATTCCATATTTACACTGGTACTTCTTCACATGAATATTTTTCAAAAAACTATTACGCCCTCCGTCCCATTTTATGTGAGGTAGTTTGACTCGGCACAGAGTTTAAGAAAGAAAGGAAGACTTTTAAAACTAGTGGTTCAAAATGAATGGTAGAAATTTGTGTGGCTGTAAATCATTTCATTAAGGGTAAAAAAAATATTTTATAGTTAAGTTGTTACTTGATACGGAGTATAAAAATGTGTGATTTTTTTTATAACTGACTAAAAAGGAAAGTAAGTGGACAGAGTGAGTAATATTATTTGCATAATAATAGAAGAAATAAGATGAAATATAGAAATTGTTCATTTTTCATTTTTCAATCACATTTAGTTGGGCCATCAATTGTTAACGAGCGACTACATGTATATGCAAGGTTCATGGCCCAAATTCATGAACCCCATATAATTGACGAATCAATTAATACTAGAGTATGCTTATTAATCTTGAACATGAAGGTATATGTTACACTACGATTTTAGAGATTTCAAGAAATAATAGATCTATTCACTTTATCAACAATCGAACTACATTTGATATATCATAAGAAATTTACTTTATGAAAAATATTTGTTCGCACTCAACTTACACATCAAGATTAATCAGATTATAATGATTAAATAATAAATGACTTGAGGATGTCAATCAGATATTTGGCTAAACTTTTAGGGAAAAAATATGCTTTTAGTAAAAGCTTTTTTTTGGTAGAGTTTATAGTCTTACTTTTTGCTAGAAGCTTTTTTGAAATTTTGATAAAGCATAAATTATTAGCCAAATCTAAGGCCGATTTACTTTTCAAATCGATTGACCAAACATGAAAAATTACACCATTCGTCCCTTTTTTATTTTATACGACGATTAAGAAATTATTAATAGATTGATTAGCTTTACTATTTTGTCATTTATTCATATCAATGCACATCAAAATAAGTTGGAAAAAAAATATACATAGAATGTAAGAATAGCTAGTTTTGAGAATTGCTCATATTCCAAAGGTCATATTAATTTTAGGGATTAAAGGGTAAATTTTAGGAATCACATAGTTTTAATATGAAATTATAATCTATTCCTCTTTAGTTTGTAATTACATTAATCCCTTAGAAAGTAACACAAACCGGATACATAATATGTAGCTCAGATACATTAAAGAGTATCTCGGATACATTATAATATAAATCGGATACATAATATGTACTGTAGCTTGGATACATTAAAAACTAGCTCGGATACATTATAAAATAAAGGGGAAAATAAGCAAATACCCCATAAAAGCAAAATAATTACAAACATATACCCCTTTACATTCATACCCCACTAAATAATTACACTATATACCCCATTTACTAATTTCGCTTAACTGATACTAAATCAATATCATATATACTGTATTGGTATCATTAAGGCTGATAATTTCACTAAATTGATACTAAATCAGTGTATATATATACTGAATTGGTATCATTAAGGTTTATTGTTAAGAAATTACTCATTAGTCAATGATACTATAAGAGTATATATATACTCTTATAATATCATTGACTAATGAGTAATTTTTTAACAAGAAACCTTAATGATACCATAATATATATATAATATATATACATACTCTTATAGTATCATTGACTAATGAGTAATATCTGAACAAGAAACCTTAATGATACCACAACAATATACATATATACTCTTATAGTATCATTGGCTAATAAGTAATTTCTGAACAAGAAACCTTAATGATACCAATACAGTATATATATATACTGATTTAGTATCAATTAAGCAAAATTATCAACCTTAATGATATCAATACAGTATATAATACCGATTTAGTATCACTTAAGCGAAAATTATCACCCTTAATGAATGAAGGGTATGGACTGTAATTATTTATGAGAGAATGGGTATTTCATGAATTAGTTTGGATTTGGATATGAACTTGTAATTATTTTAGATTTTATGGCCCATTTATGTAGCTTTCCCTAAAATAAACCATATTAATATATTTGTCTCATATTAGTTGTCCATCTTACTGAATCAAGAAAACATTAATTAATTTTTTCCTATATTACCCTTACAATTAATTCTTTTTGAAGGTGTTCACATTTATTTGTAAAATTTTCAAGAAATTTTTTAAGAGGTGAATTAGTAAAAAAAAAATTTTATTTATAATTTCTTAATATGTATGTAAAAGGAAAAATGATTAACTAATATAAAACGAAGGAAGTAATTATTTTAACTACGTAAACATGAATGAGAAGGGAAGTTTTTTCCTAATACGACACTAACTATTTATGATTCCCCCCGTTAAATTTAAAGTTACAATTAATGTTCTTTTTCTTCTTCACGAAAGGGATAATGTTATAAATATATAAATAAAGATAATGTTACATACGTCGATATATATATATAGTCATACCAATGCTACTAATTTTAGTATAAAATTAGTTTAACATTACATCATCCATTTCCAAATCAATCAACAGTGCCTACTCAATTATTATCACTTTAAATCTGGAATTGTTGGCATATGCTATATAGTTTATAAATTGAGAAAGATAGGGACCATACATTATAGCAGCTAGCAAAGTTAAGTTTTGCTACTCCTCCTTCCCTTTCAGTTATTTAGTAGTAATCCCTTCCTCTTAAATTAGTTGTCATTATTAATTTTACGGAAGTCGAGATATACTGATTTTAAGATATATTTTTATTATATTAATATGAAAAAAATTAATTTATATAATTTTAAATATTTTAATTTTAATTTTTGCGGCATGGATGAAAATAAGGTTTGTTTTTTGAAATTTTGTATGATAAAGAATATCATCAAAATTTAAAGGTAAATTTTACGAAATGGATTAGATCGATTTTAATTTATTGTATGGAACAGAATGTTGGTCAGTGAAAATATTTCATGTTCAGAAAAAACAAGTTGTGCATGATAATATTGAGATGGATGTCATACAAAAAGTGATCAAATAGGAATTTGAATATAAGAAGAAGGAAGTCACCTATGTAGATGAGAGAAGGGAAGGCCAATGCACAGTGTGATAGGTTAGGTATTGCGAATACGAAAAGAGGTAAAGATAGATCAAAAAATTATTAAAAAAAATATTTAAATTGAGCATGATATAACTTCAACTTATTGAAAATAAATATGATTTTAGATTTGACGATCTCAAATTGTGGTAAAGATTAGTTGATAAGGTTTGCTCGTAGTATGGAGGATCGGGGGTTTTGTCAGAGTACTAGCATTATATATTCATCTAGTTTAAGACTTTTGATATTCATTATCATACGTTATTATATTATTAATATTATTGTTCCTTGCATATATGTTCCAAATTGTTTTTTATTAGTTAATATTTTTTTTATTGCCATTTTTTCATTTCGTTACTCTTTGATTCTTTTACTTAAATAGAACATTTTCCAAAAATATCTCTCTATCATGAGGTCTCTTTTCTTATTGAAGAACCACTCCTACTTATTTTGTTATGCACAGTACTAACTAGAGCCGTCAAAAAGAGCTTAGCCCATGGGGCCGGCCCAACCCAACCTGTTATTGGGGTAGGATTGGGATAGTATTTTACAAGCCCGTTTAAAATCGGGGCTTATAAGCCCAATCCTTTTAGGCCCTTAGCCTTTGAGGCTTGATCGGGGCCGGCCCATGGGCCAAATTATTTAACTTTAATTAAAATAAATATTAAAAAAATAAGAATAAAAAACTAGAAACCTAAATAAGTGTTTGTGGAGTTTTTCTAAGGAGCTTACCTCATGAATTTCTTTATTATTTAGTTTTGAATATAAGACTTGGATAGTAGACACTATTTATATTATATGTGATAGAATGTTTTATGGCTTGAACAATTAATTAGTTTCTTGATTTCATTTAACAAAATACTTTAAGTAATTATGTATTGCTAACTAAAGTTTTAGTCAGAAGTGTTCTTTAGTTTACTAGTTTGTTTTTCAGATATTATTTACTTAAGAGATTATTATTTTTTTCTTTAAATATTTATTGCTAGATTTTATTTAGAATTATTGAAACAATGTTACCGTTTGTGTCATTGATTTGACATATTAAAAAAAAAAGGTCGGCCCGCCCCAGCCCTTGACCCTTCTGGGATTGGGCCGGATTGACCATTTTACAGCCCTTTGAAATGAAGGGCCGGCCCGCCCCAGCCCATCAAATTCTTTGGCCCGCGAGGCTTGGGCGGGGTAGGGTTGGGCTGACCCGTTTGACAGCTCTAGTACTAACAAAGTGACACAATGACTAAAATTTGCCTATATTTTATTATAATCTATTTTCATTTATATGTTACAATTCAAATTCTAAACTCAAATTCTAGTTTTTATCATAAAGTTGGACCTGAGATTTTCAATTTTTTTTTTTAAAAATAAAATCTATATATATAAAAATTACTTTTAAAATGTTATAATTCGTAATAAAAAAATATTTTTAAATATTTTTAAAAATATATATAAATATTATAATAAAACAAATTATTTAAATCTCAAAATTTAAAAGACATCACATAGATTAAGACACCGAAAATGTAATTTCTTCCCTTAACATTATTCAAGGAGCTTTTTGTTTTCCATTCGATGTTCGATAGTCACATCGAAGCCCAACTAAATCTGAATTCACGCCAGGAGGTCCATCTAGAAGTAAATCCCTCTCTAATAAAAACGATTCCATACTCCAAAAAAATAAAATTTAAAATCTCTTATTAAAAATAAAGAAATACTTATCGCGTCATCACGATTGTGATGTACCTAAGGGGTAGTTTTGCGTCAACCATGAGTCACATGGTATTAATATGCCGAGTGAAATACAGGTAAAGTTGCAACAGATATTAAATACACTCATCTCTCTCTCTCACTAATTTCCATTATTTCTTTATACTCACATTCAAAGCTAATTAATTGCATTTCATCCTCCAAATTCCAACCTATATTTCTCTCTCTATCTTTGTATCATTCTCCTTTAATGTAAATTACCATTTCTCAGCTCGATCCGATCCGATCCCTTTTTCACAAACAGACAAAAAAATGGAAGGGGCATCAACCCGAGTATACAGAGGATTAAAGGGTTACTGGAGAAGAAGAGGTTATCAGAAGTTGAATCGGAACAACCGGGTCGACTTACCAACAGAAGGTTCGACCCGAAAACGAAAGTTCTGGAAGATAAAGTTAACCCCCAAATTGAAGCTGAAAATCAATTTTAAACGATTCTCACTGAAGAAGCTTCTTATTGGGCTGCGTGATGCTTATGTGAATGCGATGCTGAGGATTGCGAATACTCGGGGATTCGGCGGCGATTACGGCGGCGGAATCGACGGATTTGGGATGCGGCGGGTTAAAGAGTACGATGAGAAAGTGCTGGTGGAGATCTATAAGTCTATGATAATTGCTCAGGGAAAAATAGGTCCTCGTGATGGTGCTGCTGCTACTGCCAAAATTGGACCTGAGATTAATGTAAACGGTAATTAATTAATTAATCATGAGATTTAATAGTAATAATTAACATTCAGTATTCATCTTCTTCCTTTGAGGTTCTATTACTTGATTTTAAAAAATGATGGCGGATCTTGCAGACCGGAAAAAATGTGTTGTAAATCGTAACGCTATGTTGCTCCAAATGATTTTGTCAGCTCTTCGATTAACTTGTACGCACCTCGAATAATTTTAGGATGAAATTTACAACCTGCCATCATAAACATGTTTATGTACTCCCTCCATTTCATTTTACGTATTTGTTTCATACTATTCTTCGTACACCCATTAAAATGACAATAGCCAATTAGAACTTTAAAGAATATTACAAATAAAATTATTTTAATTAAATATTTCTTAAGTAATATATTAAGTAGCAGAAATCAAACCGATCAATAACCGAATCGAAAAAATGTTATTGGGTTAATGGGTTTTAGTGGTTTTATAAAAAAATAATTGGGTTATCGGTTTGGTATCGGTGGTTATTGAGTAAAATTGATAACCCAATAAGACGATAGTAAGTTACTACTATATCCTTAATTTAACATAACTAGACAATATATCAATACTCTACCCTACGGTCTACACACTTCACACGTCATAGTATTTCTACTTCACAAATTCCATATTATGTTTTGGTTATAGCAAGTTATTGTAGCCTTTATACTACATCTACTTTTATTGATGCAATTTTTCATTATATTTTTTGTTTTACTACATCAAAACACTTACAGCTGATTTGCTTGTCTCACTGTATCGTGCCAAATTGTTAGAGAAGTGAGAAATCATATATTTATTTTATGAGCATTTTTTTATTGGGTAAAGCAAAAAACAAACCGTTAATGACCAAAAATCCATAAATCGAAAACCGATAAAGAATATCTTATTGGTTTAGCTTAATAAAAAACGAAAATCGATAAACCGAACTGATAATACATAAAACCGAACCAAAATCCGGATGCACACCTCTAAATTATTAAGTCAATCAAAATCAAATAATATCCCAAATTTAATCGGATTCCAATAAAACAGAATGAAAACCAAAAAAACAACTAAGATACATCTATCTATCTCTGGCATGATTATTTGTCAAATCCGTTTAATTAATAAGGATAAACCATGTACAACCTCTATTCTAGTTCTACCATATTATTGATCACGAAGATTGAGTTTAATTAAGCACTTTGCACGACGGTGTAAAATAAGCTAACATAATCAGATTATTTAAACATTAGTTATTGATATTCTACAATGAAAGAATATTTTTACGCTCTTAACGTGATTTAAAAAGAGTAGTCATTGAAATCAAAAGAGTAAATAAGAATAATTTGCTTAAATATGACAAGTAAAATAATCGAGAAAGTAATACATATATCAGTTACTTTCTTTATCTCAATTATCTATCATGATTAATTATTTTCAGTGGCGAAGCCAAAACTCTTTTTAAAAAGTAGAATAAGTGAGATTTGAACACACGAGCACTGCCTCATTTCAATCATCTAAAACCATTAGGCTACAATAGCTTGTTGAGTTAAGGATATACAAAATATGTTATTTAATCATTTCGTATATTATTTTACTTGTATATAAGATATTTTATTTCGACGAAGGGTGTCCAATTGGACACCTTGACCATCATGTAGCTACTCCACTGATTATTTCATCTCATTTTATTCTTAGTAAGTTATTGTTCTTTAAGTCTATAAACATCTTAATTAGAAGTGAGTCTTATAACAATAACAATGACGTATCAAATATAGTTTCCCAAGTAATCAAATATGAAAAAAAATTGTGTAGGTAAGTTTGTTCTTATCTTAGAAAAATAAAGAAGTTATTTTTTATAACTCGTAGCATAAACAATATGAAAGAAAATACTATTCAAATACTAATAAAATTAAAACTTATTTTTAATTCATATTTATTAAAAAAACGGATAAAAGAGAAACACGACATTATTTGAGAGCGAAAGATGAGAAGTGTACCATAAAAATTTGGCAAAATGTAGGGAATAATTCATGATGCGCCGTTACTTTAGGTAAAGCTATTGATTACTAATTGGTGGTAGAATTAATGGCATTAAAGCATTATATAAGTGGATCAATTATAGTGAAGCCATGGAATAATAAAATTCTATCTAGTGGGGAAAATAAAATTGTGTCTAAATTAAAAGAAGTAAACTTGCCTCTAAGATTCCATTGAGAATGATGGAAAGCAATAATACAAAATACATCATTGTCTAAGTTGACAAATTGGTAGTTCATAATGTTGGTTGGTGAGGATAAGGGCATGAACTTGATACTATTAGTTCAAAAAATAAAACAAATTATCCCTTCATCAAAGTAAGTTTCATCTTAACCTTGCTACCTCGAGATAAAATTTATGTACACTTTGTTCTTTCAAAATCTTACCTGGTAAGACTATATTGAGTATGTTATGTTTGTAAAATCGAGTAATTTAAATACAACAATTACAAATTAAAGTTGACCAAAGAATAAGTAGAAGAAATAAAAAGAGTATAAAACACAAGTACCCTGAATTATACCTGAAAATTCAACGACACACCGAAATTTAAATAGGGTCCTATTACTTTTTTTTTTTTTACCTCAGGATAACCTGCAGCCGCTACAACCTCTGTCACAGCCTCTGCCCTACGGGTGAGCACTTTGTGCGCACTGGGTAAACCCCCACTGTGTAATAGCCTGCAAACCACACAGGAAATGTAAACCGCACTAGGCAAGCCCTATGCGACAGGCTCAACTCAGAAGGCATTAAGGGGGAATCGATCCCGGGTCATCTGTGTGGATAACCACCTCCAAACCAACTGAGCCACCTATTACTTCTGAGCTCATTTATTTTATATTTTTGTGCTCGTTTATGGTGACGTGTCACCATAATGTTCACACGTGCCTCATAACAGTACAGAAATCTGGTAAAACACAGGCAAATACTGAAAGCAACATTTCATTCATCCCAAAACTAATAAGAGTTGATTTTTTATTTTTTTTCAAAAGTAAATTATGTTTGAATAGTATAATCCGTGATTTATAGTACTTATTTTGAAGTTTATAAATACATATATTTTGTTTTGGAAAAAAGGAATAATTTATATCATATTTTTCATCAAAAATTAGTTAGCATGTTTTATAAATTGAGAGTAAAATAGAACAATATAAAACAAGAAATATAGAGAGAGAGATGGCATTTTCTTATTTCTTCAAGTATATATGTCTTGTATCACATATTGTGTCTATTTATATACTATTACAAATTTACAATTAAGATATATAGTGTAAGCAAAATATTTTCGATATTTTTACTAGAGCTATCAATATGGGCTAGTCTATCCCATACGGAATAGCCTATACGAGCTTTGAAATTTGACGGATCAGGTTGGACTGACTCATTTTTTTTGTGGGCCAGAAAACAACTAACCTAATCCATCTGTATGTGGGCTACAAATCGTGTCAAGTCAGCCTACTTTTTAAAAAATATACTTTTAAAATATTTTTTTAGATGAAACTATAATTTTAAAATAATAACATAAATATTGACAAGATTATATTGCATGGTGTTAGGATACTACTTGCTAATCAAATCCACAAATAAAATAATCTTTATACTCCCTCCATCCCATTTTATGTGAGGTAGTTTGACTCGGCACAGAGTTTAAAAAAGAAATTAAGACTTTTAAAATTTGTGATCCAAAATGAATAATAGAAATTTGTGTAGCCGTAAATCATTTCATTAAGGGTAAAATAAATATTTTATAGATAATTGTTACTTAATATATAAATGTATCATTCTTTTTGGGACTGACTAAAAAGGAAAGTAACTCACATAAATTGGGACAAAGGGTGTAATACTTATTAAGTTGGACAAGATATATATACCATGGAACCAATTTCGAGTAGCAACAAGTGTTTAAATGTTTTCATGATGGATACAATTTTATACTTGGTGAGAACACATCCACCAATGCTATATTATTATTCTGATGATTCAATAGTAACAGGAATACTAAGTACATCATGTTTGATGATTCTAAATTTTAATATAACTTTTGAATAGACTTTGAGTTTGAACTTTCATTATTTTTTATACTATATTTTATTAGCCAACGGGCCGGCCCAACTCATATTACTCAAGCCCTATAAATCAGCATGCTTATCTGGACCGAGCTAAAAGGCATTTTTCTTAAAGGCAAAAGGGTCTGGTAGACCCTTATACTTGATTTAACGCCACCTAAGGCCAGTCAATGGTCAAAGGGGCTTTAAATTTCTATTTTATTTGAGTTGAAGTGTCCAATTGAAACTTTGTGGAGTAGAAGGGTCCAATTTACAATCCGAGTCAAGTATAAAGGTTAACCAGACCCTTTTGCCGAGTAATTTCCCTGGATAGTCACCCATGTTTGGGAAATTACCTTGAAATATCACTTATGTTTGTTTTAGTACCACAATATCACCCAACTTTACCTCTTTTCCTCAAAATATACTTACACAAAAAAATATTATCTCTCTCCTAATAGGATGCCATGTCACATTATTCCTTTTTCATTATTAACTTTTTTTTAAAAAAAAATTAGACAACCCATATTACCTTGTAAAAAAAATAAAATACATAGCCCAAAAATTTCTACCCTAGTTCTAGGGGATTAGGCGGCAAATCCAAATATGAGCTCCTCCGATTCTTCAAGAAAATATGTGGCTTCCTCCGATTTTTCAAGCGAGATAATGTTTTTATATGGGCACTAATGGGCAATGGCAACTTTTTGTTGAGTTCGGAGTCAAAAGTGCAACTTTTTTTCTTTAAAAAACAAAACGGCACATCAAAAAAAAATTACCAAAAGGGTAAAATCGCTCCTGACGAAGCGATTTTGTTCTAACAAAAATTGACGCCGCTCCGCTAAAAGAAATAAAAATCGCTGTCGATTTTCATAAAAAAATAGTTTTTCTTTAAAATTGCTGCTATAACAGCGTTTTTATATTAAAAAAAATAAAAGCAAAATCGATGCTATAGCAGCGATTTTGTTTAAGAAATTATTTAAAAAATAAATAATAAAATCCTACCCTTGCAGAGAATTTAATAAAAAAAAAATTAAAAATAAAACTGAAGCCAGCGATTTTCATAAAAAGTTTTTTTTTAAAAAAAATCTTTACCCTTTCAGCGATTTAAATGAAAATTAAAACTGAAAATCGCTGCGTCGGCAGCGATTTTTTCTTTAAAAAACTTGTTTTTT